GGGTCAGAGGAATAGCTCAGCGGTATGAACTCCTGCCTGGTAAGCAGGAGGTCCTGAGTTCAATCTCTGGTACCAAAAAATAAAGCAGATAATGTTGTATAAACTCAAGTTCTTTGTCTTCCCAAATTGGAGAATAAATTTGAAGACAAAAGAAGTAGTTAGGAAGCCCACCTAAGAGGGGAAAGAGGTCTGATGCCTTATATGGACAGGTGGAGGGAGGGGACTTGCTTGTCTCAGAGGAACTGGGTTCAAAAGAGTCATAAAAGGAACCAGCTATCTCACATTTTAAATGTTTTTTTCTGAAATGGGATCTGGTTGAAATCCAGGCCGGGAGGCAGGAGAAAGCTGTCAGCTAACTTTGCTGTACTTCTTGGGGGTGGGGGGTGGGGGGAAGGAGTCCCTAGCTCTTTTTTTTTTCTATAATTTTATTGATAAACAAATAGCAATGAGACAATTTCAAATCAAATCAGTAGGACAGTTTCAATAATTAACACACTGCATATATTCTTCTTAGTGGTTAGTTGCTGTACAAGATGCGGACCTGACATCCTATTTACAAACACCATTAGAATAAATCATTCTATTCATTAAGAGAATGTAACTATATATCTATCCCAACCACTTTCGGTAGCTTTTATCCCTCTTGTGTTTACCTTCACACCTCTAAACTTTGCTTAGTGACTTAAATGCTCTTAACCTCAGGGGGCTGTTCTGTTTTTCAGACTCTCTTGTGAGGTTGCTCTGACTTATGCTTAATCATTAAGCATAATGATTAAGCTCACTTAAATACCTGAGCTAGGCCGCTGCAGTACTGTGCTGGGTGCTCTTACACAGTCTGAAGAGCTGTGGCTTAGTTGTGGAAAACCTTCAGTGTAGATACCGCGTGCCGTGCACCCTCCAGGCAGCACCAGAGTGCGGGCCCGTGCGCCTCTTGGGGTGCTTTTTACTTCGAGCCCTGCCATGCTAGCTCTGAGTTTAAAGCATTGTTGGTTCAGGAACTCCAGAAGTGCCCCAGTCCAAACTTGTCTCACTTACTCTTCTCTCGTTGCTGGGACAAATACCCGACACTCAAAGTGAGGGAAGGAAAGGCTTATTTAACTCACAGTTACTGAAGGTTTCAGTCCATACTTTGTTGGCTCCAAGGCAGAGCGGCACATGGCGGAGAGCGACCTTTCATGGCGGTGGCAGAGAGCAGAGAGCAAAACGAGGAGAAGCAGCAACAATGGCTACAGAGAGCCAGTCTGTCTCTCTGCCTCTCTTGTGTTACATTCAGGCTGTCCACCCTAGGCCAGGTTTAGCACTCACACCCATAATCTCAGCAGCACTGAGACCCATCATCCCAGCCTTGAGTCATGAATTAATCACAAACTGTAGAACTGCACCTCAATGACTGCATGAGGCTTTGGGGGGACAAATAACACACAAACCACAACAAAACTCAAATATTTTGAACTCATTCCATATTTTGGTACCTCTGGTTTTTAAAGCTATTGTGAAGAATTGAACTTGACTAGAATTCATTGTTTTAAACTAGTAGTATGAAAAGACTTAGAAAATGCTTGACTATTCATCATGTCTTTTCCATAAACATATAATGACCTGGGTTTATAGTTTACCCTCCTATGCTCGCGTTACAGATGACAGTGGTCTTTGTCTTCTAGTCTGTGCTTCAGGTTCCCAGAGTAGAGGACACACTTGTGTTCAAACATTTCTTACTTGGAAACTGCCCTTCTTTTAAAACTTAATACAGTTCTTCTTGGATGTTTTGCATTTGCGCCCTCTGTGACAAACTTACACCTCCAGTACCTTTAGCAGTCTGCGGGAGGTATTTACTGAGCTGCTGTCATTTCCGTGGCTTCTTATCCCGACTCGCACCCTCTGGCTTCTCACAATGCCGGGGATCACAATGCATTTGTCTGAGCTTGCCTAAGCAGGCGCTTTAGACCGCTAAGCTATCTCGCCGGCCCTCACAACACATTTTGATGTTGCACAAAATTTCCTATGTCCAGGGGATAAGTTATGCTTTCATAAACTCCTACCCAACCAGTACTGCTTTCCATTTATGGAAGGAACTGCAGCTAGACCCAGCATGAAGAAAGCCGAGTGGCAGATCTTCCTGCTACGGACGGGGTGGTAAGCGTTGTGATTTTTCTGCTTCAGACAGCAGAGGTGGCCCTCGCTAACCTGAAGAACAAATACGAGAATGAGAAGGCAATGGTGACCGAGACAATGACAAAGCTTCGCAATGAGCTGAAGGCTTTGAAGGAAGACGCGGCCACCTTCTCCTCCCTGAGAGCAATGTTCGCAACTAGGTAAGCGGGTTTCCTCCTGAAGCTGGGGTGCTGCCTGAAGGGAGGGGCTCCGACGTTCACACCGCATCCGCGAGCAGCTCGGCGTGTTTGCTGGGTGGTCTAGATACGGAAGCACGCAGGAAATGAGTCCATTCTGACAAACATAACACAGAACTTCCCCACTTGAATCCGGAGCCCTCTCCCAGACACCTGGACAAAGCCATTCTGTCACAGGGAAATAGTTCTAGTGGCCCCCGCCTGCGAATCGCTTGATCCCAGGAGCCCAATAGCAGCCTAAGCAGCACAGCAAGTCTCAGTCTTTAGAAAGATAAAACAAAATAGTGAACCAATTACTGTAATAATTTTTTGGTGGTGCTGGGGATTGAATTCAGGACCTCACATTTGACACATAAACTGAGCTACATTCTCTGTCCAAGAATTAGATTTTTTTAAAAAAAAGACTTACAAAAAAGAAAACCACTTTCTAAAGTAGACAAATAGTTTCATCACCCCAAAATATATTTCTCCTGCTAATATATATAAAAGTGCTCAGTTAAAAGAATCTATTAATTTCTAGGGGCCAGCGAGATAGCTCAGCAGACTAAAACAGCTGCTTAGGCAATCTTAGGCAAGTGCAGGGACTGTGGTTCGATCCCTCGCATCATATGCTGCACCAGCCCCACACTCAGGGCAGGCTGAACTGGCCCAGAGAGGTTGAGTCTGCCACAGAGTCCGAGTGTGGTGGTGCATGTCTGTAATCCCAGCATTGTAGAGGCTGAAAACAAGAGGATCACTATGAGTCCAAGCTGCATAGTGAGACCGTATGACAATCAAATACATTTTTCTAAAGAAAGATTCTATTAATTTCTAAAAGGTAAAACAAATTGTGTATCAAGAAATTTTTCACATTACCCAATTAGTTAAAACAAATACTAATTTCTCTCTCCCCCATGAGTTCGTTTTCAGGCAGCAGTTTAAAATTTGAAACAGTTACTGAGATTTGTATTTTCAATATATTGTTGAAAAATCTCTTGTCACAATGCAGTGCCAAAAATAATCTGAAAAGCCACCAGTTATATATTTTGTGCGGTATAAATTTGGTACAGAATTCACAAAGCGTAACTTTGGCTTTATCTGCACATGTAGGAAATAATTTATACTCTGAACATCGAGGAGTGTGGATTGCACGGGGTTTGAGCTGGGTGAAGCCAGCCTGTCGGGAACCTCTCCAGGGGGCTCCTCACCTGTGCTGAGCACGAAGATCAGCTCCTCCACCTGTTTTCTCAGACAATCTGGCTGATGTAAATATAGAGGAAGGAGATCCTGGGCTTTCTGGGAACGCCCCAGGATGTGCCCAGCTTTTTACTAGGAGAGAAAAAGCTAAAGGTCCTGTGAGGTAGAATCCCAATGGATATGACTGAAAGAAGGGGGCGCCTGTGGACAGGAGGCCAGAGAACTGGCTGCTCACCACAGAGTGTGGTAGCATTTGGAGATTAAAATTTGGGTGCCCCTGGAGGATGGGACAGAGAATAGAAATGGACACCATGTCCCCTTCGATGAACGAAATCAGGATCACAGTTAGAATTACGAGAACATAAATTTCCTCTGTGAGAAAGAAAATATAAAAAATTTGAAGGAGCATTTAAAGTCTCAATATCTAACAAATGTCTTACATGTGGATTATTCCCAAGTAGTTCCTTTTCACAGACATTGGTTTTTCCAGGTGTAGTAACTGCCTTACTGTGTAGCACGCGACATGGTTATCTGGTGGGTGACTGTTAGTCTAGTTCGGGCCCTGACGTCACTTCATATCTTACGAAGCTCTGACATTTGTATGTCCCCACTGCACTCCTTGATGTCAAGAGTTCCAAGAGATGGCCTCTCCTGGATCTCGAACTCTTTCGCCACATTGCCTCTCCTTTTGGACACTCCAGGCTCACGCTGCTTCCGTGTCCAGTGCACTTGGGGTCACTCCGGAGGCCCATCAGCTAGCAGCCGCCAGGAGAGGGGTGGCTGCCCTGAACATCATCCTGGGGAAACACCGTCAGCGGAAACTCAGACAGAGCTTTCCTCCCATGTTCCTTCTTCCTTCCAAATACATGAGGATTTTCCTTCTGAGGAAAATAGATCGAAGTGTGGAGCCAGCTGGAACTTCCCAGCAGGCCGGCCCCACCCAGCTCAAATCCCATGCAGATCTCCGGTTCTTTGACAACTCACCACCCCTTACTTACCTACTTACTTTATTTATTTATTTATTTATTTATTTTGTATTTTAGTGCAGGGTGGATCTACAGAGTCTCACTACACAGATTGGACTTGTAGTGATCCTCCTGTTTTCAGCCTCCCAAGTGCTGGGATTACAGGCATGTGTCACCATGCCCAGTCTCAATCGCTGTCTCACCAAGGGGTAGGGCCAGCACAGCATGCCAGAGATCACCAGGGATCAAACCTCTGACCCGTGCATCTGCCTAAGCAGGTACTTTAATCCACTGAGCTATCTGGCTGGCCCAACTCACCGTTTTATTGCCCTCTTTAAAAAAAAATCTTGATTTTCAAGAAACCTTAAATTTTTGTTCTAGTCTTTTTTTTTTTTTTCACCTTTTAAAAAACAGTTATTTTTTCTGATCAAGGAGATTATGGGGCAAAGAGGAAAGTGATCGATGATGTAGAATGTGCCTAAGGAGAGTCACATGGAGAGAAAACATTCTCTCAGGCTTTCACAGGGAGCACATTGGCCAAGCAATGACCGTGACTCATCCACATGGCCGACACTGACAAAGGATCTACAATCTGAGGTACAGGATTGCAGGAGAAATCCTGAGGGGATTTCACTGACCTTATCAGATCCAAAAGCTACAACTCTTGTTGCATAGGTCTTGCTTTATCTTGGTCTTAACCATCCAGCAGAAAAGTATAAAAACGAAATACAAGAAGTAAAGCCATGGTGTTATGTTGAGCTGTAGGGGACTCAGGTCAACAATTTCTGACACTGCCAGTCAAGCGGAAGACCCAATACTATTATGGGCTTCTGGACTCTTTTAGAATATTTTGCTGCGTTAACACACCTATAATCAAATGACGGAACTAAACAAAAAAGAGGATATATAAATGAATGTCCATTTTGTATCTGTGTATTCAAAATGGTTAGGATAGATATATAGTTACATTCTCTTAATGAGTAGAGGGATTTGTTGTAATAGTGTTTTGTAGATAGGATATCATGTCTGCATCTTGTACAGCAAATAACCACTAGGAAGACAGTATGCAGTGTGTTAATTGTTGAAACTGTACTACCAATTTGATTTGAAACTGTCTTATTGCTATTTGTTTCTCAATAAAATTATGGAAAAAATTTTTAAAAAATAAAAATAAAACATTCAAAAAATAAAAATAAAAAACAATTATTAAATTGATTGTAAAGTGTATAGTAATAATTGATATGACATTAGAAACAGTGCATATTTAGAAGACCAAGATGACAGGTATTCAAGCATGGTTTTTGTATCCAATCTTACATAACTATATCTGTTAATCTGAGTAACAGATTTGATGATAAAAATAGATAATATATCAGCCATTGTTAACTAGCTATTCTTGTTTTGAAAATCTGTAACATGTATTGTTACCCTGTTTCTCTGTTTATGATTTTTGTTCTTTTGTTTTTCCTTTTCAAAATCAAATGAATTTTTTAAAAATCCTGATTTCCTAACTCAGGCAAACCGCCATGTTAGAAACGGTGTCAGCCGCAGTTTACACTAAGCTAAAAGAAAACCTACAAGTATAGGTAAAGATGCAAATGTTTTCTTTCTTAACCTATATCTACCATCACATTCCTGCAAAGAATTCACTATACAGTAGAAAGCACCATGATAACACCCGAGTACACCAGTGTCTTAAATTCATAGTCAAATTCATAGCAGTACCGCTCCCTTATCCTTGGGGGACACACTGCAAGGCCCCTAGTAGACACCCCAAGCTGTGGCTAGCACCAAACTGTGAAAACACACCTATGATAAATTTCTGGTTATTATAATTATACACAGCAAGAGATGAACCACAAGAATAAAAGGGAACAGTTACACTGTGATGAAAGTGGTGCAGATGGGGCCTTCCCTAGCCAGGGTCAAGGCAGGTATCCATTGGCCTCGGATAACAAGCCTCAGATAAAGGAGAGCTGGGCTGTTGGCCTTGCTGCAGTTCATTTCATCCTGTTCCTCCTGACCACTATTGTGCTTGGGTTCCAGATGTGATGAATATGTCACGCAGCTGGATGAAATGCAGAGACAGTTAGCAGCCGCAGAGGACGAGAAGAAGACCTTAAACACTTTGTTACGAATGGCTATCCAGCAAAAACTCGCCCTAACCCAGCGGCTGGAGGACTTAGAGTTTGACCACGAGCAGTCCCGACGCAGCAAAGGCAAACTTGGAAAGAGCAAGATCGGCAGCCCTAAAGTAAGTGGGGAGGCGTCAGCCACCGCGCCCACCATAGACACTTACCTCCTGCATAGTCAGGGCCCACAGACACCCACCATGCGGGGCAGCAGTGGCACTCACAGGAAAAGGTATGCATGCCGCGATCTTCACAGCATGGTGCAGTGGCCCGATTTCCGCTAACTGCAGGGTGAATGTGCTTTTGTGTGGGGTGCAGGGGTGGGGGGAGCCCGGATGAGAGCCAGTATCGATGGGCCTCACGTTGGTCTCTGCCGATCACTGTGATAATTGCATTTTTATATTCCTTTCTGCACCCCAACCACACCTCTCGATTAATCATAATTTAATTTTCAAGTGTCTGTTAATGTTTTTGCTGCTGTTTGTATGTATGTGTGTATATATATATATATATACACTTCTCCCTTACCTCTAGCCTAAAAATTGGTATGCAAAATGGATATTAAGAATGAAGCTGTATTCTACACGAGCTGTAATTTTAAAAGTCACTATCTCTGGAACAGGGTGCTGCCTAGCAGCGTCTCCTTCATGGAGGCGAGGATGCGAGCTAGTTCTCGCAAGAACGCCTGCCGGTGTGACCAAAACCCGTGATCGGAGGCAGGGCGAGTCTATATTTAGGCAAAACAGAATGGAAAACGTGGAGTCTTTTTCTTCAAAGCAGGTTTTTGTGCTTTTTAATTTGGCATGTGAATATGGCACCAGAGAAACCACTCCAAGGTTTTTAGTGGCTTGTGTTATGACATTTTTCCTGGTCCTGGCTATTAAGTTTTTATCTTGTGTTTTCCATTACTATGGTAAAATTTTTGAGGAACTTTTATTTGTGAATCAAGTAATATATAGAGCTTCTATCTGTGTTTCCAACTAACTGTAATAAATCTCTTTTCCAGCATCCAAAACAGTTTCCAAGTAGGCTGATGTGGAAACTTTAAAAACAACAAATAGCAAGAATCTTAATTAATATATTTAAAAAGCTAAATGCCAGTATAAATAATGTTATCATGGGTGAGGCATTGAAAGGTAATTAAAGTAAAACTTTTTTGTTTCCTATATGTATTTTTCTTGGATCTCCTGCAAGACAATTTTCACCTTCCCTTTGTGATCAGAGCCGTGCCAGGACTTCAGGGGCCTCCTACCTCCAGAGTTTATTAAGCGTCCCCCCCGATCCCACCTCCACAGAATCATTTCTTCTGAAGGGTCCCCCTTCCATGAGGGAATTCATCCAAGGGCACCGGCTCAGCAAGGAAAAAAGGTTAACCGTGGCTCCACCAGGTAAACACTTTTTCCTTGGGTGCATGTGACGCAATGACTAGTTCAAGAGGCGCCTCCCCTTCTCCCAGCCAGGCGGACCCACCACCGGCAGGGCCCTTCCAGCTGCAGCGTGCAGGTCCCTGTGTCTCAGCTTCCCCTCTCCTCGAGTATGGCCAGCCAGCCTTCCCGAGAAGCCTCCAGGGCTTCCTTCCAGCAGCCCAGGACGGAAAGTTCCAGTAGGAAGGCCTGGGGTGGGGAGGTTAGCGAGGAGTCGACGCAGGACACACACCTAGACCTCGGTGCAGTCGGCAGCTCATGGTGATTCGTGAGGAGGTTAGCGAGGAGTCGACGCAGGACACACACCTAGACCTCGGTGCAGTCGGCAGCTCATGGTGACTCCAGATGGTCAGCTTTTGTTTCCCTCTTGCTGTGTGAATGTCATTCTAGCAGAGAGAGCCAGATTTAGACCAAGCCTTTGGGGCCAGTTTCCTTTTGTAGTGACTCAGAATGTCTCCTCTGTCATTTATTCACAAAACAAAAGTCAACTCCTTGAAGGTTTTGCTCCTCAGGAACACTTAGGTCTAGTGTAAGGATTCTTAGAATTTGCAGGCCCTCCTTGACCTACATTACCAGCATGGTCACAGTTTACTTTAGTGTCACTGTTTTACACTTTCTTTTTCTTTTTAACATTTCCTATGAAGCCGCCTTGATAAAAAGGTTTCTGATTAATGACAAAGAAAATATGATTTCTGATAAATGCAGATCATCCTTTTGCAAAAATCCCTCTGTGCATTAAGAATAGGCTACAGGTGGCAAACAGGGAGTCTACTCACAAAGTAAGGCCAAAGACAGGTAGCACTTGAGTATTACAGGGAATAAGAAATTAAAAGTAACACAAGTTAGTGGTCAGCAGTTACAGAGTCAGAGAATATGTATATTTCTGGATTCTTCTTAAAAGCTGGGTATTCGGCAGCTCTAGTTCTGTGGTCAGGCCTGTCAGCGACCCCCAGAACTGAGGAGCGGCTGCTGCTGTTAGCCAGGGCCAAAGGGTCATCGCTGCAGTCGCTTGCACCCGGCCTCCTGGACTGGTGTCTGTCACCTTCTGGCCCCTGCTCTAGCATTTGTGTTCGCCACCTTTGCCATGGCTTTTTTTTTTTTTTTTTTTTTTTACTTTATTTATTTATTTAGTGTGTGTGTGGCCAGTTCAGCCCACCAGGGGGCAGGGCTGGCTGGCATGTGGTGCTGGGGGATTGAACCCCGGTCTCTGCTTTTGTTTAGTTTAGCTTGTTCTAAGGACGTATTTTAGACCACTGAGCCATCTCACCAGCCCCGGCTTGTTGTTTTGATTTTGTTGTTTGATTTTCCTTCCTACTTAGCTTACCTCAATTTTACCTTAATTCCTTTTTGGAAACCTCAACCTTTGGATCCCTAGTACTTTTCTTATCTGACCGATGCAATCAGTCTACTGATGGGGTGGATAGCTGTTACGTAATCATTTCCAGGGCATGTTCAGCATCCTAAGAATGTCTGAGGAAGTGGGGGGTAGCGAGTCGGGATGGCACAGTATCCTAAATACACGTACACTCATCACTCTGCTGGGCATTTCTACTTTCATAACACATTTCCTGTTGTTTCTGACCCCTGGGGAGGTACCTTGAGTTATTCTGTGCCTCACCAAAGTGGTGATTATTCACCAGAGTACCTAACTGGGGTAAAACCCGCAAAAGTCTTTTTCTAGTGTTCCACATGGACTTCGAAGCACTGCCTACTAGTACTTGGAAAAGTAATGGTGTGGTTAATAAACAACTCCTACTGTATTTACATTTTAAAGGTGACATATCAAAAAGATTAACATTAATAAATATTAATAATATTTTCATATTTGTATGACTGTTTGGTCCTTGTATATGTGAATGTGTCTTTGACATCCTCATTACCTTGTGAAAGCCATTCATGACTTGTACCATGAACTCTTCCATCTTGCCAGTTGTTTTTATTTTTAATGTTGTATCTTAAATTTCATTTAAGATGTGTTACTGCATGAGTCACTCCTTCCGCTCCTGTTGGCAGACGTAGTTTTCATGGTTGGTTATATTATAGAACGGTGCTGATTGGAACAGCCTGACCTATTCCATTTCCCATCTACTCAGGTTTTTCTCAAGAATGAGGACACAATTTAGAGCATGAACGTCTTTATCATGTTTTGCTCCATCTTGATGTTGCAGTCCAAAGAATATAACAGTGTACTGTGCACAAGACTCTTTCCCTTTGTCTGCACTCTGCAGTATCAATGTCTTCAATTCTTCTTTTTTTTTTTTAGGAATAAACAATTACATATTTTGATGCAGAAATTTAGAAACCTAACCATATATAGCATTGTAGCAGGACAGTCCTGTGACATTTTGTTTTCTTGTCTCTTGTTTTCATTCATTACCCTTTCAAAAAAAAAACAAAAAACATTTACTTGAGAGACAGTATGGCAGTAACTGGTATGTCCTGACAAGCAGTACATATTTAGAAGACCAGAATGACAGGCGTTCCAAGCATGACCATACCATTACACATTGCTATCTTCAGTGCAGCTGCTTAGCTCACAGGTATCAGCATATATAGTTAGTCAGGGTGAGAATTCTATCAATTAACTGGGAGTTTCAAAAACCTGCTGAAGATTCTCAGGATCATTGCCTTACCCATCTTGTGCTAATGTCTTCAGTTCTAAGGCTAATTAGTGTAGTGAAGGAAAGTGTCATTACATGGTCTTACATTCTTCAGTTTTGAGTAGCCAGAAAATAGCATCAGCCTTAGAAATGATTGCCACGTATAAGATTGGAAATACAAATAACAATTCAGAATCCTCACTAGGATAGAAAAATATTAATACTATCACCATGTTGATAAATGTAGTATTCCTAAACATTTACTTGAAGTTAAAGGAACAAAAGAGGAAAGAAAGTAAAGCTGTTATAGCTTGAGAATTTTTCATTTATCATAAGTTCAATCAGATTGATGTTTAATAAAGTCTTATCAGGTCAATCCAACAACATTTGCTAAAAGACCCTGGTTAAATGAATTACTATAGAAATTGATTAATCAGTCCAGGTGTGGTGGCACATGCCTGTAATCCCAGCACTCGGGAGGCTGAGGCAGGAGGATTGTTGCAAGTTCAAGACCAGCCTGGGCTACAAAGTGAGCTCAAGACCAGCCTAAACTGCATAGTGAGACCCTGTCTCAAAATGACAAAAAAGAAAAGAAATTGATTAATCATCTGCACTAACTTGTAGCTTCTAAAAATATCTGCATGCTTGACAACATACTATTTTAATGTGGCTAAACCATATTGGGTAAGATATAGCAAACATTATTTATGATGCTTTTGTTATATAAAACAGAAAAAAGAAAAAATATATAAAACAGAAAAAAGAAAAATATGCCACATATATAACCAGATAGAAGAAGTATATTAACTCTGTGAGAAACAGTAGATCTTATGAGGTTTTTTTATTCATGAGTTTAATATAAATTATTGATTAGTATTAAATTGCTGGCTGGTAGCAATGTACATTAATAATTTTAAAGGACAGTTTCTTGTTAATTCTTTAGATGCTTTTGATGAGTGTTGTTTTATAAAATACAATTTGATATGTATTTAGGCTATTTTAATCCTTTTAGTAAGCCGATGATAGGCATTTATTTTATGAGGAGCATTGAAATAATTATATCAATAAAAATGAAATCTGCTTAATTTGTTCTTTAAGACATAGAACATAAAATGTTTTTACCCCTCAGAAGGTTTCATTTCTTGAGTGTGGTCAGCAGAAAAACCCTATCTTCTTCAAGGAACCCTTTCTGGAGACCCGGCTGCAGGCAGGCCACCTAGTGGAACGTCACTAGAGTGTCCCCGTTGGAGCCGGGTTGTTCCAGTATGCAGCCTGCTGGGGACTGTGGCCTCCCCGCTGCCTTGGGCCAGTCAGCCCTGAAGCCCCAACATCCAGTCATCACTGTTGACTTCCTGTCTCGCCCTTGTGCTCGTCCTCACACACACGCTCCTGCAGCCTCCTTGTGCTCACCCACGTTTCTGCAGCCAGCTCGGGTGACCGAGAGTCACAGGAACCTTGTCATCAAGGAATTTATAATGAAGCAGCAGATTATGTATCTTCATCATCGCTTATTTCCTAATCAACATTTTACCTTGATCCCTTAACAGCCTTGGCTTTAATAATAACAAAAACAATAACGATATAATAGCATTATTACCATTTCATCCGTAATCCACGCCAGTCTAAGCTGAGCATGGCACATACGCCTCTAGTACCAGATCAAGGTGCAGAGCCAGAAGACGTCAAGTGTGAGGCCGTCTTGAATTACATAGTGAGACCCTGTGTAAATAGAAAAATAAATCAGCCTTCAGGATATGCAAAAAGGAGCCTACCGGATGCACAGGCAAGCGATGTTATTTCTGTAATTAAAGTCTGAAGACAGATAAGACATTTCAAACCGGGACAAGCAGGGGTGACGCAACACCCTAACAACTTGTTCTTTAAGTCACCACTCCACTAGCATGAGAGAATAGCGTGGTTTGGAAAGCTAGCATTTTTTTTTCTGTGCTGTTTTAGATTTTGCCAATTTTAAAAGCTACATAAATAACCCCTTTAAGCCCATAGTCAACGTACACGGATATTTTCTTAATGAGAAGTGCTTTTACATTTCGCTACATATGAACTGGAAAACACTTTCCTGCCTGTTGTATTGCAAAGCCCACTTGTACCAAAACTACATGTCTTGCATTAACATTTGTCCATTCACTCGTTCGTCAAAATGTCCAGAGCACGTACTGTGTGTCGGGCACTTTCCTTGGCTCGTGGTGTACACTGATGTTCATATGAAATCCCGCCTATTCTCCTTCAGAAGTTCACAGTCGCGGGCTGGGGGTGTAGCTTAGTGGTGGCGCGCCTCCTAGCATGCATCCGGGAAGGAAGGAGGGAGGGAGTCACGTTCTGAGAGGAGGAAGTGGGTGCCCCAGT